TCATATTCCAGCAGGAGCCAAGTCTGTTATCCCTTATGTATATTCTAAAGTTTAGTATGTTTTCCATAAGTTATTGAAGAAACAGGACTAAAAGTTCTCATATTCCAGCAGGAGCCAAGTCTGTTATCCCTTATGTATATTCTAAAGTTTGGTATGTTTTCCATAAGTTATTGAAGAAACGGGACTAAAAGTTCTCATATTCCAGCATGTGCTAAGTGTGTTAGCTCTTACTTATGTTCTAAAGTTTAGAATGTTTCCATAAGTTTATTGAACAAACAACATAAATGTCTTCATATTCCAGCAGGTGCCAAGTCTGTTATCCCTTAGGTATGTTCTAAAGTTTAGTATGTTTTCCATAAGTTATTGAAGAAACAGGACTAAAAGTTCTCATATTCCAGCATGAGCCAAGTCTGTTATCCGTTAGGTACGTTCTAAAGTTTAGTATGTTTTCCATAAGTTATTGAAGAAACTACCTAAATGTCCTCATATTCCAGCAGGTACAAGGCTGTTATCCCTTAGGTGTGCTCTAAAGTTTAGTATGTTTCCATAAGTTATTGAAGAAACAGGACTAAATGTTCTCATATTCTAGCAGATGTCACGTCTGTTATCCCTTAGGTATGTTCTAAAGTTTAGTATGTTTTCCATAAGTTTATTGAAGAAACTACCTAAATGTCCTCATATTCCAGCAGGTGCCAAGTCTGTTATCCCTTAGGTATGTTCTAAAGTTTAGTATGTTTTCCATAAGTTATTGAAGAAACAGGACTAAAAGTTCTCATATTCTAGCAGGTGCCAAGTCTGTGTTCCCTCAGGTATGTTCTAAAGTTCAGTGTGCTAACAATAAGTTTGGTATTAGATTTAGCTACATTGCTTGGTAGTAGTATTTCACATAGTTGTGTTGTGAATTGTTCTTTGTTACAAGTTTCTAGATATTTTGGAAGAAAAATATTTATACAGTATATATTGTAATTATATGTGTTAATTTATGAAAAAATATAATGAAGTAATTATCAAGTTTTTTTTCTTCACTAATCTTCTGATTCATTTGTAAACAAAAAAAAATCCTGTTCAAAGCCAGATATTTCATAGCTATATTCATTAAGTAGTTATAAATGATCATTAGACAACAAACACAAATCTAATATTTCAAATGGTTTAGTTTAAGTATGTATTTAGAGAACATTGTAGCAACATTTTATCTTTAGTATTTGATTGTATTTGATTTTTTTCTGATATTCTACATGTTATTCATTTAATTCCTATATTTTTAGCTAAAGTCCACTGTTATTTCTTTTGTCTGTTCATTGCAAATGAAGTTTTGTCATAAGATTTTATTATTTAGTTCCTATACATTTATTTATCTATCCTTCTAGTAGTTATAAAGTATTACATTAAAGTTTTTTTTCTTTAGTATATAATTCCCATGCTTAATCTGCATGCCCAAGTTAAAGTTCAGTCAGTGATTCTTTAAGTTTCTTCTTGGTTTAAGTGCATATGTATTATTTTTGTTTACTTATACATATTCTTGTTGTTTCTGAGTTGGTTCTTATTTTCCTAAAAATAATTCCAAACTTCTGCTTGAGCTCATGTTTTTGACTGCAATAATCTACCTAAGACTTCATTTAATTTGAAGTACATGCATAATTTTTAGTACTTTATTTTCACAAAAAATACTTTGCTTGTGATAGAGCTTGGTCATAAGAAAGGTACCTGATGAAGCTCCTGTCTTCTGTGAGGAAGTTCCACCACCCAGTCAGTTTGCCAAAGAGACTACAATTAATCAGGAACATGGTGGAGAAAGTAATAAGATATTTTTACTCAGGTTTAATCTTATTTCTATATTCAAGTAGTGAGAGCCTCACATTAATAGTCAGTAATATTTTTTACAGCATAATGTAGCATATTGACTACAGAGCAACTAGTCATTATGGTAAAACATATTAGTCTGGAATATTCAAATAGGTCTTCTAGAAACCAGTGTAACAGGGAGATGTTTTAGTTGAATTGCTGTAACATAAGTTACGTAAACCATTAAGATATTGAGATAAGAGCATATTGATTTATGTTCCATAAACATTTGTCAGAATGGAAGATGTTCCTAGAATTGCTAAAATAGAATTTTTCTAGAAATCAGTGTTGGTGTTTTTAGTTGAAAAGCATGCTTAAACCTAAATTTTTATGTTTTTACAGCATCCTCTTGTGAAAAAAAAGGGAATTATACATTATATTATATTATACATTTTGTGAGTGTAGTATTTCTATTTTTTTACTGACATAATGATATGTGTGTGTGTGTGTATATATA